ATGATGTCAGAGTCTTCCTCCAGCCGTCAAGCATGCCCGTGTACATGTTAGCAGTCCTCCCCCAGTAGTCCCACGTGCCCGTGTACATGATGTCAGCAGTCTTCCTCCAGCAGTCATGCATGCCCATGTACATTATGTCAGTTCCTTTGCGCCCTGACTGCATCATCATGTGGCGGTGAATGGTGTCAGATGGATAGGAGTCAACCCAGCAATGGCAGTGATGGTGCGGTCACATGAGATGACAGTGTGAGTGTTCTAGGGATCCAGAAGTATTCCCTCTGCAGTGTCATAGATACCCAAGTAGGCAGCTTGGTAGATGGTAATGCCCTGCACAGACACAACAGAGCCTTGGCACACACCCTTAATCCCACCAGATCTGTAGCTGTTAACCAGGCAGTCTCTGAGGGCTGGGAATTCTCTTTCAGCTCCAGCTTTACACACATCGGCTGCTAGATGGGTACGGACAAAATCAAGAGGGTCACATAACACAAGGATGTGGCCCCAGTGGCACCACCTGATGCCAGACTCCCTGCAAAGTAGTGCAAAATTGGGTCCTCTTGTTTACACCACCCAGGAAGACATGCTTGTGTTTATATCTGAAGGCGAAGTTAAGAGCCTGGGTGAGGAAGTATCTGATGACATTGGCCAGGTTACCGTGCCAGGACAGGACTTCCTGCTCCTTGGGAATATGGACCACGCTGTTTAGAATGCCCTCGATTGCTGATCTGCAGTGATCTGCTTGCTTGCTGGCATGCTGCACCAGCAGCAGCAGTTTGACCCACTCGATGGGTGCTACTGCCGTCTTGGAGGCGGCTGCGGCCACTGCACCTGCCAGGAAGTCCTTGGCAAAGGACACAGCAGCATCTGTGCTGTCCAAAGGAAAGAGGAGGCAGGCTGCTGTGGGCTGGGGCTGAGCCAGGAACTGGGTGCAGGGTTCAATAATTTGTGCAGTTTGGACAACTCCAAAATGTTTGTTTGAAGGTCGGGCGGCAGATCTTCACTAATCTTTTTCGTTGACTTGAGGATTAGTTATGCAAAGGCTTAGCTATTTTAAGCCATCCTCTCTCATTGCTTTAATCTGGTTGGGATGGGTTTTTCCTGAGACTAATGAAGTGAACGTAATGCGAGGATAGCTGTTGGTCATTTCATCTCTGTTGAGGCCACACGCACAGTGTTGGAGGTGACAGGATCAGAGGGTTTACAGCGGTGTCATTTTCACGTCGGAACTCTGGCCTCCAACCCGTGACAGCGCTCATCACATGAGACTGCAATGCAGAATCCATGGATGGGAACTCACTGTCCAGCTGTGCCTATGTGAGGAACAGATATAGGGCATTTCATGTGAAATTTGCTCCGAATATTAGCGAGATTTAATGGCTGCCAGTCTGAGAGAAAGAATCAGATCTGGAAGTAATAACATGTGAGTGAAACCAAAATATTTTTATTTATTTCCTCCCCTGCCACGCTTGAGGTGGCTGAGGTACTCTGTACTCAGCTAGCTCTAATGATCTTCAAAATTTGGCAGAAGCCTTTATAGACTGTTAAAACTGTTGACTTACTGAAAATGTTAAAGTTGCCTGGGTGTTTGAAAATAAAAAATTATTTTAATCCATAATTGTTTGCAAGTATTACTTTTTAGAAAACTTGCGTATACTGTAGAATATAGACGTAAGAATTCCTACCTAGAAATACAGCCAGCACTTTAAGACATGAGGCTTAGTTAAGATTTCTTAGCCTGTACAATCTAAATGTTACATTCAAAGGGATTCTATTAAAATAATCAATTTCCTTTACTGATATTGTCATTGGTCAAAAATAACTAGAAAAAAGCCTAACATGCAGTAGGTGCTCAGTAAATACCCCTAGTTATGCTGATGGGAAGCAGTGGTGTCGATGCTACTGGCTGGTTCCTCAGCTGGGCCTCTGGGAGTTTTCGGGCAGTTGGTGAGACTGACCCTGCGTGGCCCCGTCTCCTGTATTCTTTCGTCCTGCGTCTGAGAAGCCGACTGTGCTCGATGCTGCCATCGGTTGGTGGATGGAGGAGTGGGGTTGTGCCCTACATCTGCTCACTCTCGCATGGATAAAGCATTGAGGGCAAAGTGGACAATATAGGTGATGCTTAAAGTTTTCGTTTTTACAGTGTGGGGATTCACAGTGGTTTGGATGCACACACTGTTTTTGATGCTCCTGGTTGAATAAAGTGAGCTCAGGGAAGGAGTCCCAGCTGCTACCCACGCCTGCCACCCACGGCTGCCACCCACGGCTGCCACCCACGGCTGCCACCCATGGCTGCTACCCACAGCTGCTACCCACGGCTGCCACCCACAGCTTTCTACCCATAGCTGCCACCCACAGCTGCCACCCACAGGGAAGGAGTCCCAGCTGTTCACCCACAGCTGTCACCCATGGCTGCCACCACGGCTGGCCTATGGTTACCTGCAACATACTGACCACTTGACTCATGTTTGCTCTTGGGCTGGACTGACAGCAGGGCCCGTGGCAGAGGATCTGCAAACATCAGCCACGTTGCTAAAGACCCAGGAAGATCACGCCCAACGACATGGTCTGGGTCTCAGGGTACCACAGGGCTCAAATCAAATTCTGCTTCTTAAGATCAGACCAGACAAGCAGTTAAGCAGCAGCTCCGTGGCGTTTTTACTGAGGACTAGAGCGAAACCCTGACAAGGTTTGTACACAGGGAAGAACTGTGCATGGGAGTGGGAGCTGCACAGTCTGGAGTCTGGAGCTGAGTGCCGAGCTGACATCCACCCTGCACTTCTGCTCCGGGATCCAAGCTGTGGCACCACAGTGCACTCTGTGAATTTTGTAGTAAGTGGAGAACTGTGTTTTACATTGGGCTAGGTTTGGATGTTTAATATTACATAGTTTCTACTTACATTCTACAGAAAATAAATACCAAAGCCTAGTTTTCGCTTTGATTATCCAGAAAATACCTGGGTGTTCATCTCCCACCTTAAACAAATTTTGGCCCAATATTAACTTTAACATTGTATTTATTAGAAATACCTTGAAATGGGCCGGGCGCGGTGGCTCACGCCTGTAATCCCAGCACTTTGGGAGGCCTAGGCGGGTGGATCACGAGGTCAAGAGATCGAGACCATCCTGGTCAACACAGTGAAACCCCGTCTCTACTAAAAATACAAAAAATCAGCTGGGCATGGTGGCGCATGCCTGTAATCCCAGCTACTCAGGAGGCTGAGGCAGGAGAATTGCCTGAACCCAGGAGGCGGAGGTTGCGGTGAGCCGAGATTGCGCCATTGCACTCCAGCCTGGGCAACAAGAGCGAAACTCCGTCTCAAAAAAAAAAAAAAAAAAAAAAAAAGAAATACCTTGAAATGTTACCAAGTGATGTCCTGAAATGTGAAGGCTGTCCCATAGAATAGTTTATTATGTTACATGCAATATGCAAAGTGTTTGTTGTGTGATACATATTAACTCAGTCTTTAATATTCATAATTATTTCCCTGTCCTTAACTCTAAATCCAAGCTTTGATGTTTCTGTTCTTCTACCCTCCCACGAAAGGCAGTGTCTTCAAAACCAAGAGCAACTTCGTTCTCGTTCTGCAGAAGAGTGTGGTTTACAAACAAATCTCCAACCACTTCAAATGTACTGCACCTTTGGGGGGCACATGTGGCCACGAACATTGATTTCCAGAAAAGATAACTGTGTCTCCAGTACCTTCTGTGTAGTGCAAATCACTTGAGACCTGAGCTAAAAAGGCTGGGAGTCACCACCACCAGGAACAGCAGCATGGCCTGCTTCACCAAACACAGCCAGCGTCCTGGAGGCCAATGCCTGTGTACTGAAGAGCCCACCCAGGAGTCAGGAATTTTCAGGCTGTGCTCAAAGAAATCTGCCAGACTCCCCACACCAGTACTCAGAAGGCTTCTCCTGAAGGCACTCAGGGTCTCAGCAGTGGGGTCTCTGTAGGGGACGGGGCAGATGGGCAGGCTTAATAGGAGCCAAAGTCTTCAACCTCAGGAAAAGATGGATCAGAAATACCCATCCTCCAACAACTGCTAGGTTATAGCAGATCAGGGGACAAGACAGGGAAGAATCCTGCAGTCTAGGTTAAAACAG